CCAAAATCAGAACGCTCACAAAATTTCAATCAAGGTGTGCACATCAAACATAATATTCAGCCAGGCATGCAGAACCAAAAGTGAATTCACCAGGAAAGACTTGCCTCATGGACAGAACATAAATTATTTAGAACTCAAAGTCCTCAAACCAGAAGGGCACTTCTCTTTACACCAGAAAGTGCTTGCCAAAAGTAAAGAAGCAGAAGAAGAAAAAGAAAGAAAGAAGGAAGGGAGGAGGGAGGGAGGGAGGAAGGGAGGGAGAGAGAGAGAGAGAGGAGAGACAGGGGGAGAAAGAGAGAGAGAGAGAGAGAAAGAAAAAGGAACCCAACCTTTATACTCTCAGGAGGGATGCAAGGTATTTTGTTTAAGATTATAACCAAATCACATCCAGAATAAAGTGAAAAGGAACTGACCAAAGGGAGGGAGTCTGGGTACTTGAGGAGATTCTCCAGAACAGAAAATCAACTCCTGGAAAGGGCAGTCTGCAGAGGGCTCAGTCAACCCTGCGTTAGATTCCAGGAAACTCTGATTCGCCCAAGCTGAATTCACTTCGGTCCCACTTCTGGCTCCACTATGTGACACTGCATAACAAATACAGAAGGACTCTAAAATAAAATGAACTTTCTTTGGAAATAGGTATTGCAATGGGAATAAGCAGGTCATAGGAAAGTACGTGTGAATTTAGGGAGGTGAAGGAAGACAAAGGTTTTAAAAGGAAAATGGAGGAGGATCACAGGATTGTTTTGAGATACTTATCCTTGGCTACAAGGATCAAGGACATGAGTGGCACCAGTCTGAGGTTGAACAGGCAGTTGCTGGGCAGATGTCCTTGCAGAAGTATTTTTTGGTGAAAGGTTAGGAAGGCCTTTGCGCAAGGTGGAACTGGAGCCTGGACTACTGGCATCACCCACTGACCCACAGCCTCAGCTTCCCTTTTAGAGACACTGCAGGGGAGCCAAGGAGCTGGGCCTCGGACCTCTCTTTACTGGCAGTCTGTGCAGGGTGACCGTCAGAGGCTAAACCCATGTCACCTCTGATAGGCTGCGATTGCTGTGCTCTGGGTCATTGTGCATTGGTACCATGGGGGCCGCACTCGCAGCCCCAGGCCTTCTTCTGGCAGGGTGCTCCGTTGCTCTCCCTGGGTCAGGAGCTGTTGGAAGAGAGCGAGGCCAACCAGAAGCCCAGACGCCCCGGGGGGAGCTGATCCTGGACAGAGGTTCCCAGGAGGACAAGGAAACTCCCTGGTGAAGGTGCGCAGGCGCTGTGCGGGCAGCCCAGGCACTCCATCAGCGCCCCCTTATCCTTTAGGAGGAGTCCTCCTGGGGCTCCAGCCCGGTACTCCAGGGCTGTGGGCTGGGGCAGGACGGCCGCGAACTGCGTAGCTCCAGCCCCTTTCTAGCCGGCTGGTGGGCAGCTCGGCGTGGGGACGCGGGATCCGAAGGGACCCCTCCCGGGAGTATCTGCTGCCCTCAGGGGTCCGGGACACGGCTGGACCGGCGGGCGGGCGGGCGGCTAGGCTGCAGAGAAGGGCGCTGGGAGACAGCGGCTGCCCACGCAGCTCTGTTCAGGCTCACGCTCTGGCTCCAAGCGGGCCCGCTGGGCCGGGTCCTGCTCAGGTGCGCACCTGCCCGGTAAATGGCGTAGAATCCAGGCAGCCTTCGCCACCATCGCCGCTGCTGCGCGGAGCCTCCCAGCTTCGTCTAAGTACTCTGGGCTGCAGCTCTGGCTGCGGTTGTGTCTGCGGCTCCCGGGCTCGGCTCTCGGGGTCAGGGAACTGCACCGCGCGGCTACAGGAGTGGGGCGCATCCGAAGAGCTCATGCCCCGTGGGAGGTAAAACTTCACCCAAGTTTGGGTTCTGGGGAGAACCTATTGAAGCCAGGAGTGGCTCCGGTCGCGGACCCACACGGGAAGTGGGAGTAGGGGACAGACGGAGCCGGTCTCGGGTTCTCCATCAGGGCCCTCCAGGAGGTGCGTTGTGGATCCGCAACCCTGGGGCGTTGGCGCTCCCCTCTGGGGAAGGGGCGGGTGGGCCGTCGGGCCACCGAGCAGGAGCCAGCGAGCGGGGTTGGAGCGGTGGATCCCGCGGACTTCCGCGAGGACAGAGTTTGTTTCCTTGGCTGCTTTGGGGAGCGTCTGTCTGGACCCAGCTGGGAGAGCTGAAAGTGCCGCAGAGAGGCACCTCCTCACTCCAGCCTCCGCTCCTTCCCCATCACCCTACCCGGCCTTGGCTGGGGCAGGTCGTGGACAAGAAAGGCGAAGGGAAGAGCGACGGCCTTTTAATGAAGGCTCACTACATGCCAGGCCTCGTGCCCGGCGCCTCCTGCTTCCCATCAGGGCCCTCCCAACCCTGCGGCTCGCAGGTGTGTGTATGGAGGGGACAGGGGAGAAGAATTCACTGCACGTGGGGGTGGTGGCCCCGCCGAGCCCTCCTGGTCCCTGGTTTCCGCAGTGAATGAGGTCCGCAGCTAGGGCCTCTGCACCTCGCGGTGCCCGGGAGCCCGTCGGTCTGCTGCGCCTCCTGAACCCGCCTCTACCCTTCCCGCAGCTGTGGCTCCGGGAGCCACGCGGAGGCCCACGAGGAGGCCGGCGGCCACGCGCATCCCGTAGCCCAGGTGGCCCAGCACTGCACCGCAGCGGCCTGGGCGCCATAGAGCCACCGTATTCGCTGATGGCGCACTACGATGAGGTCAAGTAAGTGAGCCGTTGCGGCGCGTGTGGGCGCACGCGGGGCCTCCCTGCGCTCAGGCTTCCCTCGGGCGTAGCGCCACAGGGCCCAGGCTGAAGCGCTGGAAGTGGCGCGAGGTGAGCCTGCTGTCTGGTTGGTGTTCGCCGCCAGCCTCTGCGCCATCCTGGCGGCTGTGCTGGCGCTCAAGTACCTGGGACGGTCGCGGCGGGCGGCGGCGCCTGTCCCGAAGGCGCCTGTCCCGCGCGCGCCGCTCGCTTCTTGGCCGCCAACCTGGACGGCAGCATCGACCCATGCCAGGACTTCTACTCTTTAGCTGGCGGCTGCTGGCTGTGGCGCCACGCCATCCCCGACGACAACCTCATCCATGGCACCATCGAGGCCATCGGCTAGCAAAATCAGGAGCGCCTGCGGCGCCTGCCGGCGCTGCCCAACACTAGGTGCGCGCCTTCTTCTGCTCGTGCTTTGAGATGCGCGAGATCGAGCGACTGGGCCCGCGCACCATGCTGGAGGTCATTGAGGACTGCAGGGGCTGGGATCTGGGCGGCGCGGCGGAGCGTCTGGGAGTCACGGCGCGATGGGACCTCAACCGGCTGCTGTAAAAAGTGCAGGGCGTTTTACTGTGTTAGCCATGATGGTCTCGATATCCTGACCTCGTGATCTCCCCGCCTCGGCCTCCCAAAGTGCTGGGATTACAGGCGTGAGCCACCGTACCCGGCCACGGTGAAACTCCGTCTGTACTAAAATTACAAAAAATTAGCCGGGTATGGTAGCGGGCGCCTGTAGTCCCAGCTACTCGGGAGGCTGAGGCAGAAGAATGACGTGAACCTGGAGGGCGGACCTTGAAGTGAGCCGAGACCGCGGCACTGCACTCCAGCCTAGGCGACAGAGAGAGACTCCGTCTCAAAAAAAAAAAAAAAAAAAAAAGAAGTGCAGGGCGTGTACAGCTCCGTCGCGCTCTTCTCGCTCACCGTCAGCCTGGATAACAGAACTCTCCGCGCTACGTCATCCGTGTGACTGTGCCCCCTGAGCGCCCCGCCACCCGCCGCGGACCCGGGGAGCAGTGGCCTTGCCCAGGGGTCCCTGAGCGCCAGAGGAGAGGAAGGGAAAGCAGGGGAGGGGAGAGGAGGGAAGCGCACAGCGGCAGAGGTGGGGAGGAAGGCGTAAGTAATTTCCCTGGGGTAACTTTGGTGTTTAGCCCAGCTGCAATTTCTCAGCCCTCTGGCAACCAGTGAGGGCCTCACCCTCACTCACCTGACCTCCAGCCCGCAGCTTCAGGACATGGTGATGATGGCGGCTACCTGGACTTCCTGCTCAAACTGGGTCCCTGGACAAGGACTATGAGGTGGGACTGTGTCCCTGCCTGTCCAACCTGACCACAGCCCCTCTGCTAATGGCACCTGGGAGGGCAGGTGGCCTGCATGGCCAGGTTGTGGCGCTGTCTGCTGGCAGCCCCCTCCTGGTGTGCGGCTGAGTGTTGCCCGTGCTCCCGCAGTTTGAAGTCCACAGCAAGACCTACTACAAGAACAACTTGAACAGCATCCACTTCAGCATCCAGTGCTTAGTCAAGAAGACTGGGCAGGAAGTGGACAAGTCCACGGGGGTGCCTGACCCAGACCTTAGGGTCAGAGGAGGCTCACTGGGTGTGGGTGGACAGGTTGGTGGCCCAGCCCAGGGATGGCACAGAAGATGCACTGTCAGGAAATGGTTGTGGCTGGGCCACCAGGACAGCCTTCAAGGATGAGGAGGCTAGGATGTGAGGGTAGTGGTGGAGGAGGTGTGTGCCTCCCAGCTCCCCCCACCTTCCTACAGAGATGCTCCCTCCACAGGTTCTCATTGCCTTCCATCTACCCAACAAGAACCAGATGGGAATGGAGTGTGTCTCTACACCCCTTGGGTCTGAATGTCGGTGGGTTTCCCACTGACTACACCCTCCCTGTACTGCTGTGACACTGCAGTCCAGGCTCCAAACCTGGCTTCAGCAGTCAAGTCATAACATACCCTGGCCAATGCATGCCCCGTGGCATCCCGGATGGCAAGTTTCTATCAAGAGGAACTTCAGCTGCTTCTTGGTGTTGGGGGCCTGGTGTGTGCCCTGGTAGCGAAGCAGGAAGCTCTGGTTGGATGGAGTCAGTAGGCCTGGGGCCCGCCTTAGGTCAGAGGGTGCAATTGAAAGTCCCACATAGTAAATCCCACACTAGGCATCTGAAGGCCCCTTTGGGAGGCTGGGATTTAGGGGGGCTTCCTCTAGGGGTGAAGCCCCTTTCAGAGCCAAAGAAAAAGTTACACAATTTGTTTCCATCTATTTTTTTTTAGATGGAGTCTTGCACTGTTGCCCAGGCTGGAGTATAGTCATGCAGATGCTAACCAGGTAGGGATACCTGTTCTGGACCCAGGAGGGCCTAGGGCACCATCACATGCATCGTCAGCACCCAGGCCAGGAGAGGGGCCCAGCAGGGAACCTCCTTGAGTCCTCCCAAGAGGCTACAGGAAGCGTGCGCCTCTCTCCTGCTCACGAGGCTTCCTGTGCCAATCACTGGATCTGTGCAGGGGCAGGGGCTTAAGGAGGCTCCAGGTCTTGTGGGGACTGAACCTGTGGTGCCCTCTGGAGTCTGTGCTCTGCAGTGAGTGAGACGCCCCTGCTCACAGGGAGTTGCGCAGCCTGAGTGGCCTGCCTTGGTCCAAGTAGTTTGGGACCAACCTCAACCTTGGGGTTTGGTTAAAAGGACTTTAGGCCCTCCTGAGTCCCTACTATGTGCTGGGCTCACCACATGCCTTGCCATAGCCCTGGGCAGGGGGCGCCCCAAGACAGGAATGTGTACCTCTCCTGTTTAATAGTGAGTTCCATGCTGGTTCCTTCACCCTTCATGCAGGCACCCACCCTAGGTGGTTCTCGGGTGTCCTGGGGGAAGAAAATGGGGTGCCCCAGGCCAGGGGTTGACACAGTACCCCCTCCCACATACATCTTTCAGTGGACTGGGGAGCATTAGAGTTCAATGCAGCTGCCTAAGTGGATTGATGGATTATGTCGACAAAAAGAGACAAACTCTAAAATATTTGAAGAGATGTATTCTGAGCCAAATATGAGGGACCATAACCCCTGACACAGCTCTCAGGACATCCTGAGAACATATACCCAAGGTGGTTGGGGCGAGCTTGGTTTTACACATTTTAGAGACATGAGACATCAATCAAATACATTTGAGAGATACATTGGTTTGGTCCAGAATGGCTTCCAGGTTATAGGTAGATTTAAAATTTTTCTGATTGGCAACTGGTTGAAAGAGTTATTATCAATGGAAAGGAATATCGGGGTTATGGTAAGATGTTGTGTTGAGCAAAGTTTTCTCATGCAGATGAAGCCTCTAGGTAGCAGGCTTCAGAGAGAATAGACTGTCAGTGTTTCTCATCACACTTAAGGTCTGTGCTGCTGTAATGCTGGAGGGGATGATGAGGCATGTTGGAACCCCACTTCTCCTCAGGGCCTGAACGAGTCTTTGAGGTTAAATTTTAGAGTGCCCTGGCCAAGGAAGAAGGCCTTTCAGATGGCTGGAGGGCCTTAGAAGTTTATTTTTGCTTTACAGTTGTATGATTTAGTTTTCACCAAACTCAACCTCCAAAATGACCAAGAGGCTCCCAGAAGATTCCTGCAAATGATCTGCAACTAACACCAGGAATCCAGAGCGGGTGACCCACAGCAGAAGGGCGAGCTGAGAATTCCTTACCACTCCTGGCAGAGCTCAGGTCACCTGGGGTACAGACGTGACCAGACGTTAGCCCCTGATATAAAAAATCAGCAAACAAAACTCTCTGAGTCCCGCCATTCTGTGGTTACTGCTGAAGCTTGCCTCGGGTGCCTTGTGCTTGAAGAATATATTGATCAGTACTGTGAAATCCTCATGGTTGTCAAGGCCTCTAAAACTAAGCTTCCAGAGCTGAAGAAAAAGTCACACAATTTGTTTCCATCTATTTTTTTTTTTTTAGATGGAGTCTTGCTCTGTTGCCCAGGCTGGAGTGCAGTAGTGGGTTCTCGGCTCGCTGCAATCTCTGCCTCCCAGGTTCAAGGGATTCTCCTGCCTCAGCCTCCCAAGTGCCTGAGATTACAGGCACCCGCCACCACGCTTGGCTAATTTTTGTATTTTTAATAGAGACTGGGTTTCTCCATGTTGGCCAGGCTGATCTCGAACTCCTGACCTCAAGTGATCTGCCTGCCTCCACGTTCCGAAGTGCTGGGATTACAGGCGTGATCCACCGCACCAGGACCTCATCAATGTTTAAAGTTATATGCAGTTCAACCCAGTATTTTTTGCTTTTTCCTAAGCAACGATACATGTTTGGAAAGCTCTTCTAAAGTTTCTTGCATGATAGCATGAGACAAAAAACACCTATCACTGAGCAGACACTTATTCTTTCTGCTGCAGGAAAAGTGACAGAAACAGTGAATGGTAAATGATCTGTCGCCAAACCGAAAGGCATTTCTTTGTCAGCAAACACCGTTGGGAGATGTAGAGAAAACACTGCCCAAGATTGGAAGAAATTTGTGTTACAGCAAATTACCCAGCGGGGGAGGTTTGCTTCGCAGTGGGCTGAAAGCACACATGTTCCCAACATGGCTCAGCTGAAGGTATTTGCCAGGTGCTGTTCCAATAGGGTAATACACAAACCACTTCTTTCATTTTTTCTCATGTCCCATTAAAAGGTAGATATAGCAGATAAGATATATTGCCAACAGCAAATGCCTTTTTAAATAAAAACAATGCCATGAGGGAATGGTGGAAATGCAACCACAGATGGAACAGCTACTCAGAAAGGGCTTTTATAAAAAACGGATTCTGGATACAAATCATCCTTACCCCCCACTCACTGGCTCATTCCTAGTCTAAATCAGCGCAGGAAAGAAGCCTGGAGCGTACCTGGAATGTTGTAGAAGGCAGCGGAGTTGATTTTGTAAAGCTTAGGTGGCCACATAAGAGTAGAAACTTTGAGATGCGTGCTGAGGGGATTGGGTACGACCATGGAAACTTTTCAGCCACATAGAATGAGTCACAAAGTACTGAAATCACTTGTGTCCTGAGTTCTTCCTCTCTTTCTTCCTAATTCTCACTCCCTCTTTCTTGAAGTCCAGTGTGCTGACATTGTTAGGGCTGAATAGAGCTGTCTATTTTAGGTGCATCGGGAAAAGACTGAAAATATAAAATGGGCTGAGGGTGGTGGCTCATGCCTGTAATCCCAGCACTTTGGGAGGCTGAGGCAGTCGGATCACCTGAGGTCAGGAGTTCGAGACCAACCTGACCAATATAGTGAAACCCGTCTCTACTGAAAATACAAATTAACCGGTCTTGGTGGCACAGGCCTGTAACCCCAGCTATTTGGGAGGCTGAGGCAGGAGAACCCCTTGAATCTGGAGGTGGAGGTTGCAGTGTGCTGAGATCGAGCCATGCACTCCAGCCTGGTCAACAAGATCAAATCTCCTTCTCAAAAAAAAAAAAAAAAGAAAGAAAATAAAACGAAACTGTTTTACCCAAAATTTTGGTTCACTGCCCTCATACGATCGCTGATCAGACTAATGACAATTTTTTGAGACTGAGTTTCACTATTGTCCACGCTGGAATGCCGTGGAACTATCTTACCTCACTGCAACTTCCGCCTCCTGGGTTCAAGTGATTCTTCTGCCTCCAGAGTAGCTGGGATTACAGATGCCTGCCACCACACCGGCCTAATTTTTGAATATTTAGTAGAGACTGAGTTTCAACATCATGGCCAGGCTGGTCTTGAACTTCTGACCTCAGGTTATACGCCCACCTTGGCCTCCCAAATTGCTGGGATTACAGGTATGAGCCACAGTGCCTGGCCCTGAACAATCTTACAGTTTAGCTTTGGGACTCTCCCATTTTCTCAGAAATCTCATTTGGATCCAACTGTGTTTTATACATCTGTGAGTCCGTATTATGTTTTTTGTCTCGTAACTAAAATTCTAAAATGAAAACTATAAGGTCTTATTTATGTTTCTGTCTATGTATATATGTTTTTGCATGTTGTGTGTTGTGTCTCTAAGTTGAAATCTGGCATAGTCAGCCAGAAATCCCTTAAGGAATTCTATTCAGGGTGGCCGGACACGGTAGCTCATGCCTGTCATCCCAGCACCTGAGAGGCCAATGCAGGTGGATCAGCTGAGGTCAGGAGGTCAAGACCAGCCTGGGCCACATGGCAAAACCCTATTTTTACTAAAAATAAAAAAAAAGTAGCAGGGACTGGTGGCATGTGCCTGTAATCCTAGCTACTCAGGAGGCTGAGGCAGGAGAATCGCTTGAACCCGTGGGTGCAGAGGCAGCCGTGAGCCGAGATCACTCCAGCCTGGGTAACAGAGCGAGACTGTGTCTCAAAAAAAAAAAAAAAGATAAACTTGTTAAAATATACAGTGAGCAGGGCATGTGAAGCATGCCTGTATTCCCAGCTACTCAGAGGGATGAGGCAGGAGGATTACTTGAAACCAGGAATTTGAGGCCAGTCTGAGCAACACAGTAAGTCCCCATCTCTAAAAAAATATGTATATAGGCTGGGTGTGGTGTCAGACATCTTTAGTCCCATCACTTTGCGAGACCGAGGTGTGTGGATTGCTTGAGCTCAGGAATTCAAGACCAGCCTAAGCCACGTGGCAAAACTGCATCTCTACAAAAAAAAAACAACAACAAAACTTAGCCGGGCCTTGGTGGCATGTGCCTGTAGTCCCAGTTACCTGGGAGGCTGAGGCGGGAGAATCACTTTAACTCCAGAAGTAGAGGCTGTAGTGAGCTGTGATTGCACCACTGCACTCCAGCCTGTGTGATGGAGTGAGACCCTTTCTCAAATATAGATATGTATACATACACACAAATATACATATATACACGCACACACATATCTATGTATGTATATGTACACATGTGTAGACACATAAATACCTGTATACATATGTAAATACATGTATACACATATACAAATATAGCATAGTAATGAACCCAGATACCCCTTTTAGTTCACGTGATTTAACTACATCTTTGATAAATAAGCTGATTTTAAATTTGTTGATAAAAGTACAAATATATTTAGTATGTTCTTTTGTTTCTTTTTTTTTTTTTTTTTTGAGACGGAGTCTTGCTCTGTCCCCCTGGCTGGAGTGCAGTGGCACTATCTCGGCTCACTGCAAGCTCCGCCTCCCGGGATCATGCCATTCTCCTGCCTCAGCCTCCCGAGTAGCTGGGACTACAGGCGCCTGCCACCGCGCCCGGCTAATTTTTTTGTATTTTTAGTAGAGACGGGGTTTCACCATGTTAGCCAGGATGGTCTCGATCTCCTGACCTTGTGATCCGCCCGCCTCGGCCTCCCAAAGTGCTGGGATTACAAGCGTGAGCCACCGCGCCTGGCCTTCCTTTTTTTTTTTTTTTTTAGGACAGAGTCTTGCTCTGTCACCCAGGCTGGAGTGCAGTGGTGCAATCTTGGCTCACTGCAACCTCCACCTCCCAGATTCAAGTAATTTTCATGCCTCAGCCTCCTGAATAGATGGTACTACAGGCACGCCTCACCACCCCTGGCTAATTGTTGTGTATTTGTAATAGAGAATGGGTCTTGCCATGTAGGCCAGGCTGATCTCGAACTCCTGGCCTCAAGTGATCCACCCACCTCGGCCTCCCAGAGTGCTGGGATTACAGGCGTGAGCCACCGCGCACATCCATCTTTAGCATTTGCAGCGTACATTTTCCCCTGGGTTTGCGGGTCAGGTAGGATTATACGTGTCTCTGCTAGATGCTTCCAGGTCATAAAACTTTAAACCCAACCTAAAAACAGAGTGATCTTTGCTTGTGGAGTTCTTTGATCAATAAAACTAATTTAGCATTTCTGCTTTAATGAAAACAACTCTTGTCTTACAAGTTACTGGCAAAATACCTATTTATTTAACTTTAAGGTTCTTAGGTGAACATCTGAGAGTCACAGGCTACAAAAATCGTAAACAGGAGAATAACCTAAAATGAGGATTAGCTTTGTGTAATATCTCAGTATTCAAAACTAATGGGGATATAGTTCTTAAAAATATAAGTTAGGTAAATGTACATGGCATACATGTCTATAAATAAGCTTTTCATAGAATTAGTTGTTGTTATTGCTCTGTGTGTTTTGCTTTTGTGTTTTTTAAGGCAGATTCTCACACTGTTGCTTAGGCTGGAGTGTAATAGCACCATCTTGACTCACTGCAACCTCTGCCTCTCAGGTTCAAGTGATTCTTGTGCCTCAGCCTCTCGAGTAGCTGGGATTACAGGCATGTGCCACCATGCCCAGCTAAATTTTGTATTTTTAGTAGAGACAGGATTTCACCATGTTGGCCAGGCTGGTCTCCAGCTCCTGGTCTCGAGCAATCCTCCCCTCTTGGCCTTCCAAAGTGCTGGGATTACAGGAGTGAGCCACTGCACGGTCAGAATTTGAAATCTTAAAGTCATGTTATATTACATTAAGTGACAGATACTCATTAAATATATGGGGCATTTCCAAATAAGGTAAAACACAAAAACATAAATTGCCAAATGTAAATATAAGTGTGTTTTTGGCTTCTTAAAATTTTATAGAAGTACCAAATATATTGGGGTTGTACGGATATACATAAAATTATAAATGGTTCCCATCTGTAAAATACTGATTACAGGGATTACAGGCGTGAGCCACCACACTGGCCAAGGTACGTCTTTTTTAATGGAATATTGCTCTGTTGCCCGGGTTGGAGTGCAGTGGAATGATCTCAGGTCACTGCACCCTCTGCCTCCCAGGTTCAAGCAATTCTTCTGTCTCAACCTCCCAAGTAGCTGAGATCACAGGCACGTGCCACCACACCTGGCTAATTTCTGTATTTTTAGTAGAGATGCGGTTTCAACATGTTGGCCAGGCTGGTCTCAAACTGCCTA